AGTTGCTGTACCATTTTGACATGATTTCAATTTTTGGTAGATTTCTTGGGTTTCAGGTAAGACAATCCATTTTAATCTCATCCTGTACTTTTCCTGCTCAAAAATGGACTCGGCAATATGCCCCTCCCTTAGTGGCTTTAGAAGCCACTGTGAAGTCAATGGCTTCAAGCACTTTCATTAACTCAAATGTGAAAAGATATCCCATCATTTAAAGCAATAAAATGATGAGTTTATACTGATACTACACACTCAGAATAAGACTGAAGAACTTTATGTAATTTTTGCATTTTATATACGTATTACCTTTCATGGTAAAAAAATTATTCTCTGTTAACAATAACGTAATTGTTTATCAGCTTTCTCTTGTTATTTATAATAGTTTAACAATACAATTTTTTTTGGGGGGGTACCAGGAATCGAACTCGGGTCCTTGAGCTTGCACAGCAGGCGGTGAAACCACTGAGCTAAGTCTCCAGCCCTACAATATTATTTAAAAATAAAATTATTCAATACATTTTAAGATTTTGTCATCCTTATTTATGTGGTTTGTTTTCTTATTAGTGTACACCCTACTTTATCTTGTTTGTCAAACACTCATTTAAATATTAAATATTTTCAATCCATAATGATAGTAAAATATTTTAATTGGTCATGTTTACAGAATACTAAGGAAACACTTCAAAGCATTTTTCTTTTTTTTTTTGCTTTTCCCATACAATCTTATAGCTTAGGGAAATCAAACTGTAGATGAATTATATTTTATATCTATAAAATATTCCCACTACCAAATCAGAAAGGAGAGTGTGTTATTCAGCTTTCTGTCATTATAACACAGAAGCTGAAATAATTAACTTTTAAAGAGTAAAGGTTTATAGGACCGGGGATTTAGCTCACTGGTTTTTCCGCCTGCTGCGCAAGCTCAAGGACCCAAGTTCAATCCCTGGTACCAAAAAAATAGAAAACAAAGAGTAAAGGTTTATATAGTTTTACATTTTTGGAAGTTTCAGTCCACGGTCAAGGGGCCTCTTTGGGGCGTGTGGCAAGACAGCAGATCATGCAGGAGCTCATGGTCAGACAAAACAGCTCACCCTATGGGCAGGAAGTGAGACAGGGATAAAGAGAGGGGGAGGGGAAAAGAGAGCAGGGAGGGGGAGGGGAGAGAGAGGCATTGGGGCTCCCCTGTCCCCTTGAAGGGTTCACTTCCAACAATCCAGAGCCTCTCCCTCTGCCTCCTTCCCAAAGGTTCCCTCACTTTCCTACAGTGCTGTCTGAGGCGAAAACCTTTACCATATGGGCCTTTGAGGGATATTTCAAGACCTTGACTATAGCAGAGTGATAGAATCAGAGTAACCACTTACTAGCTACTTTCTCTTTGGACAAAATACTGATATATAAGAGCTTATTTATTGTGTTCCTAAATAGTAATTCTTGTTACCAGGTGTAACCCTTTATTGTTCTCCTCTTAACTGAGCCACAATTAAGAACAGTTAAGGAACAAGTGAATTTTGTAGGCTAACCCCAGATTCTCAAAGGCTTGGAAAAAGAAATTCCTTTTAGATTTATATCACACTGCAGTGTGACTCTGTTCTAGGAGCCCACACACCTACACCATGGACCCCACTCCTGAGCTTCCTTCCTCTCTGACGTTTGGGGTCTGCAGTGTGCACTGAGACAGGCTAGGCTCAGTGACTTGCTTTGGTCTATGGAACACCCTCAAGCATCATGCAGTCAGAGGCTGGGTAGTTGCCCTGTGCTCAGTTGCCCATGTACACCTGATGGAGTATGCAAGAACAAACAGGGAAAAAACCACCCTACACTGCTGCCAGGGATCCCTGCTGAGCCAGCAGCTGACTGCAGATGCTGGAGTGGACCTTGCAAGTCCTCTGAGCCAGGCCAAGAGCCACCCAGAGGAGCTCAGCCTAAATTGCTGGGCTACAGAATCAGGAAAGGGTTGTTTTAAATCAAAAGTGGAGTGGCTTATTTTGTGAGTGACTTTGTTTTTATGAACTAAGAGGTAACTGATACACTGAGAATATAGGTATAAGAAAAATGTTAAGAGAATACTGACATCTGAATATCAATTGAAAAAATTTCTAGTGAATTTGTTTCATTTCCTTTTAATGTTAGGAATTACTTTTTGTTATATATAATTTTGCTTTTAACACTAAAATATTTGCATAGATTCAAAGTTAAAAATATAAAACATTCAGAAAAGTCTAAATTTTATCTTTTCCCCCACAGCCACCTTATTTCCCTCTCTTCCCAAATGGTATTCATTTATATTTTTAATATGATTATTTGAGGAGACATTTTAGATCTTTGTTAGTGAATTTAGCATTAAATTAGTGAAGCTTCGTATATTTTTCTCTCTACAGAAACAGATGAGAGAATAAGGCAGTGATGACTTTCAGTACAATTCTATTGGAAGGATGCAAGAATGGAAAGTTTTTATATTTTGGAAAGGAGGTAAAAAGGGCAAAGGCATCATTTTTTCATATTGGTAACCAAGCACATAAGTTAAAATGAAAATTTTAAGACATAACCTTATAGATGCGCTATTTAGGGCCAGGGATTTAGCTCAGTGGTTCCGCTGCCTGCCTTGCAAGCGCAAGGACCCGAGTTTGATCCCCGGTACCAAAAAAAACCCAAAATGTATAGAATAGATACTCTATTTAAAGATGCAATTGTCATTTCCAATGGAATAAATTAAGGTTTCAAAGTCATTATCACTATGCAGAAGGGAGGTAGGAGCTATTGGGTTTTTATAACAAACCTTGTGATTTATGATGAAAAGTGAAAAAAATCAAGTAAAGAAGTAATCAAAAGAAGAAAAGGTAACATGGCATGCATCTATGCTATAATGGTAATAATAGTTCATATTTACCAGGTGATTTCTAAGTACCATGAATGGATCATCATTGTGTATCTTTACAAGTACAGTATGAGGTAGCCTCTTTTTAGATCAATAGCACAATGAGAAAGTTAGTGATTTGAGAGCTGTTCAGTTATTTATTATGGTGAATTATTGCAAAACTTAGCGTGTGGAAACCACACCCTTGATTGTTTCATAGCTCCTTTGGATCTATAAGCATTTTAGTGGGATTGGTCTTTCATGCACCTAGAGTAGATGTTGGCAGGACTGCGGTCATTCCAAGCCTTGCCTGTGGGCACCTGCCTCAATGCTCATGGTCATGGCACACTGACGCAGCTTTCACTCTCACCCATGCAGGCCTCTTACACAGCACTGTCCTGATGTGGCTGTTGGCTTTTACCATGGGAAGTGATGCTGCAGCAAGATGCCATCCACTGTCTTTTTATTGTCTAATCTTGGAAGTGACATCTGTCCTTCCTGCCACAGTCTATTTCTTAGAGCAATAAATAAACCCAGCTCACTCAGGAAGAAAGGATGGATTTATGAGTAGGACAAGAAAACCAGAGAGTGTCCATCATAGCAGGCATCTAAGAGACTGTCCAGCACAGGGGAAGGAGCTTGTCCAGGTTGTAGTAGGTCTAAAGTGGTACCCCTGCCATGCAAAATAACTCAGTTTGGTTCTGGGGTTTGTGCTTTCAGCAATTATGCTACTACCCACATGCTGCCTGGGCAGTGTTTACCCTTTATGGGACAATGGTAGCTCCTTCCATGTGGTGGTCATTGTGGGAGGGATTAGGGAGAGCTACACACATAAGAGTTGACTTTCACATGTGTAACAAACACACAAGTGTGTTAGTTATTAGGTTCAGTAAACCTGATATCAGCAAACATAAATGAACTGTATGTTAAGCTCAATATATAAGCTACAAACGGTGACACACTCATTTACCTTCTCCTTTACAAAGTGTCCAGGAATGCAAGAGAAATTGCCATGAGTACAAGTATAACCTTGAATTCACTTTAATTTATAAAAAGTCAAACCCTCCCTGGCTCCAGAACTTTACTGTAATGAATTATTTGAGGTTCCCAGACTCATAGTTGATCATGATAAAGAGCAGAGTCATGTTCCTGGGATAGGGCATTTGTCAAGAGGGACAGGCATTGGCTAGGGTGAGGACTGAGTACTATATCTTGAACAATTTTAGGAGCCAGTGAAGTGTTTTAAACATGGATAGGTGATGAAATTGCATGTGTACCTGCTGCTGTGAATTGTGAAATTTTGTCAGAAATATCAGGTATTTTATTTTCCTTATGTGTAAAAAAACAGGTGCCTCCTTTGGGCTCCTACAAATTCATTCATGATGATTTAGTGAAAATTATAGATTTCTCAAACCCACAGATCAGTCAAAGCCCACTATTTCAGTACACCTGTGCCTGTCCTATCTGATCACACAGAGACTTCTGTGGTTGTCAACTCGGCTGTGTGATTTTGGGACACTGACTTACTGGCTTATCCATGGTTCTGTTCTCTGGTGGTATCCACATCTCTTGACATGTACTAGGAAATTACTGAATGTTTATTACATGAGAATGGATTGAACTCAATTGTGCTCTGTGTTAGTTACTGAGGCAAGCTTAGGTATGTAGAAATAAGGCAGTACCCCTATACTTTATTAGTAAAAAGGCATAACTGTGGATACGTGTTTTTTAATTTATTACTCAAATATTTGTTGAACCCATGCTCTAAGTGTGGAGCTCCATTAGATGCTGGATACAGTGTATAATAACACATGAGCATTGCTCTTACAGCTTTTGTGGGAGACAAAATAGTACACTGGTGATCCTAGCTCAGTATATGTGGGGGCAGAGAGGAAGGCACGAGAATCACCAAAATAGAGAAGCATGGAAAAGGTGAAGGAGCCTGGGGAGGGGTGTAGCCCCAGAGCTGAGTTTAGAAGATTGACGAGTTAAACTAAACACAAGATGTGACTCTGTCACGTATCGGCACATTGGTTTGTAAAGGCATGCGGGAAACGTTAAGTAAATATAATCAGGAGGCTCTGATCCCACAAGGACGATATGCAGAGTCCAATAAACTTTCCTCTCTGCTCCCTTTCTGTCTTGTCAGCCATCTACGAACAATCCTGTGAGGTCTACAGGCATCAAGGGAACACGGCTGGGTTCTTCTACGTGGACTCCGATGGCAGTGGGCCCCTGGGACCTCTGCAAGTATACTGCAATATTACTGGTAAGATACAGAATTTTCACTGATGCTTACCTTTGCCACTTCATGGTAAGAAGGAAAGACAAATCCCTGAAAGGGGTACCCATGAGAATTAAAATTTAAAGAACCAGCTTCCAGTGGGGTGGTATTTTGGTAAGTGATAAAAATTATCAGATAGCCTATATTCAGGGGAGAAAGAGAAGGAAAGAGAGAAAGAGGGAAGAACTTGTTCATGGTCTTCTTCATATTTCACTGAATCAAGATTTAATTATCAAGTTTTTGTTGAAGGGCTTTTATTAGCATTCAAAAATGGAAAGAAAAGGGAAACAAACAAAAAACACTTAAAAATCAATGGGAAGCTCTGAGTCAGTAATAGGAAAGCTCCACTCATTCCTGGGCCTGAAGACTATGTATCTGGGAGTTCCTCCCTCACTCTGAGCTTCAGTTGTTCACCAGTGAAGCAGGAATGTTGATTTTAACCCTCTAGAGTTGTGAAGATTAAATGCAATCATGTATATTGAGCAGCTAGCCGGGCTCTTTATCCCCCAGATGCCTAACAAAAAAAGGAGCTATTTTTATTTTTCTCATGGTAATTTGTAACTGCTTTCTTTTTTTCCCCCCATTAAGTTTATTGGTACATTTTAGGTATAAAATACAGTGTTTGTAACTGCTTTCTGAGGTGCAGGACATAGAAAAAGGCAATTATTACAAGGGTTTGAACATGGCATATGATCACCAAAGCATTCTGAAATAGAATTCCACAATGCCAAATAATGATGTAATATTTATTTAAACATTCAGCTATGTGAGCATGCCTACCATTTTAAGTGTCATTAATGGACACCTACACATTTTGGGGTTGTCTGTTCCAAGCCTAATTTTCAGAAATGTCAAGTGCATCACTTAATGAAGGAGGAAAGTAGGAATTTCTTAACTCTCATTGAGTCCTATGCCCCAGCCTTCTCTGTAAGAGAGCAACTATGTTTATGGAGCTCTTTCTGCAGCCAGATTTTGTCCTAAACATTGAGGATATGCAGAGAAATCAAATATAGTTGCTATTATTCATGAGACAGTAAAATCAGGATCACTACTATGTAATGCTTTAGACAGAAATACAAGCAAACCATTGTCAGAAGTTATAATTAAGACACTTAGCTATTTGATTATCTGAATACCTAGGGGCAGACTTTCACTGGAGAAAATACCTATTACCTGGAGTTGGATTTGCTTCCATTCCATTTTCATAATACTTCATCCCTCCCAAAATGGATGTATGGTAGCTGCTTTTCACATGATTCAGGTGTGAATTGTATCTGGTCCATGTTTTACCAAAGAACTGAGTGAGCAGACTGACTGTGTGTGACGTGTTGTAATGGGGGGTGTGTGACGACTATCAATTCCTGAGCACTGCCATCTTTAAGGACTAAGCGGAAGGTAACAAACATTATCTATTTTAGTCCTCACAAACAAAAATCTGAATCAGATATAGTTTTCCATTGTAGAGAGAAGAAAAGAGAATATGATAATTTTACGACTTGTTTGAGATAGCAAGTTCTGCAGCAACTAGTCAAGACTCAGAGAACAGGCAGGACTTCTGACTCAGGAATTATTTCTATTGCTGAACCATTAATTGGACACTTTGTATTGCCTAGGCTTAGCTTAAATAGTGTTTGCATTTTGTTATAAAAGTAATAAATGTTAATTGCAGTTTGGGGAAAAAAGAAAAACATGAAAAAATATCAGAGCAACATTATTCTAGGGATGTATATATTTTACATGTATACACATAGGCCCATACATGTATTTAAATTGCAAATTTAAATTTTAATGTACAAATGTAGTCTTTTCCCATTTACATTAAAATGCATACGGCAGTTTACATACATAGTTTAAAATTATTAAACTCTCCCAAACGATGTATGTACATGCATATAGAAGATAGGACTGGCTCATAAGTCTCATTTGCATGGTAGTCATGGGCTCTCCTTACAACAGACTTATCTCAAGGTTCATGTTTAACTGTTTGTGCAAACATGGCTAACAGTTTAGGTATACCTATATGTAAAGTTTATGGTTTTGCTGGTGTCATCCTGAAGAATGTCACTGGAGACTTGGAGTTGTGTACTGAGTTGATCATCTTCACAAGCATGATTAAGCATCTCTTTTGCTTTGGTTTCATGCACTTGCAAAATATATAGGCTTGATTTTTGCTTTTTGTTGTTACTTCACTGTTCCTAAAATAGCTATAGAAATTAAAGTTACCTACAGGTTAAATCAACAATTATCATATTTAATTGGCAAATAGTTTTCTAATAAACAAATGTAATCTAATCAAGTGTTTATGTTTCTATTCGGACATTTTAAATTGTTAATATTATTAAGCATGAGTGGCTTGTGATACTATGAAAAGTATAATAAACTGGTATAGGAAAGAGCATGAGAGAGGAAGGGAGTGATAAAGAAGGGAGAGAAGAAATGGAAGAAGGAATATGTGTGTGTCTTCACCTCTGGTTTCTGAAAGTGCAAACTTGCTATTCTCTGCACTTCTCTCTAGCAACTAGGGTAATAATATCATTGATGCAGCCCTGTTTTGCATACCAGGCATGATGCAAGTCACTGAAAAGATGAGTTTTGTTGAAGAGAATTTATTCATGAGCCAGCCAAGTGTGGAATCAGGAGAGTAGGTCTCAAATCTACCTCCCCCAGGACAGGGAGTAGAGGTGTTTATGGGTAAAGGAATGGGGTGGTCTCAGGGTTGGAGAAGGTGATTGGATGTAAGGAATAGTGAAGTACTCTATAGACTATGCATGAGTAGACAACTTCAAGGCTTCTCATAGGACCCACATTCAGAAAAATGACTGTGTTAGCCTGATCTGAGGATGGAGTCTGGCCTTCTGATGTCACACATAGGATATTTGTGCAGGCCCACGGGAAGGGTCAGTGGCTTCAACCAGTTTGAGCTAGATAAAAGCAGCTTCCAGATTCCTGTAAAAAACCCTTACATATCCATTACATCTTGAGCCATATGGTCCACATATGATCCATAGCAAATCAAATGGGAGTTAATATATTCTTTAGCTATGTGACCTCTAAAATTGGTGATTTTTAAAGCCAAATAAAATCAAGTGCAACACATTAAGTCTGAAGTGTTTATTTGTATTTTCACTCTGTTTCAATAACACATAGATGGCAAATAATTCTGGGATCCTGGGCCAGGTAGTCTCATAGTCCTTCCCATTTGGAATTCTTGGAAAATAACTGTGAAATTTCTCCTAAGACGTCTATAGATACTTGCAAATAGATGTCACCAGGCTGAAAATGTACAGCTCTATAAGACACCAACTAGAGGATGTGGATGGGAAAGGGAGGAAGCCCAGTTGCGGGTTGCCGAATTGAATGAGGTGGTGGATGAGGAAGATAAAGACTAAATTTCTGCAGAAATACATGCATCGTCTATTTTTTTGTTGTTGTTTGTTTGTTTGTGGTACTAGGGTTTAAACTCAGGGCCTTCACACTGAGATACATACCCAGATCTTTTTAGTCTGAATTTTTTGATAGGGTTTTGCTGGAACTTGTGATCTGCCTGCCTCAGCCTCCAGGAGTGCTGGAATTACAGGCATGTGCCACCAGGCCTGGTTTACACGTGGCCTACTTGTACTGTTTCTATAAATAATTACATTTCAGCTCAGCTCATTGTAATTTTACTCAATTTAAATTTGTACCTAGGAGGCACTGTGCAAGCTGCTATGGATGTGAAAGTGTATCTGCATTCCTTTTCTAGGGCGTTTCTGAGAGAGCCATGCACTGGTGGCTTAAAAAAGAGAGGTATGCTGTCTCAGTTCTAGAAAGTAGAAATTCAAAACTGAGGGCCATGCTGCCTATGAAATCTCCAAAGGTGGATCATGTCTTGCTTATTCCTTCCTCTGAGGATCTACTCCACCTCTGGCATCAGCACTTTAATCTCCCCGCTGAGAGAGGCCCAGGCTGCCTCTTGTGAGACTCTTATGTGGTTTCCCCTTTTATATATCTGTGCTTGCTTCTTCTCTTCCTATAGGGACAAACATCACATTGGATTAGGTCCTCCCTAATAGAGCATGACTCATCTTAACTTGATTATATCTGTAAAGATTCTATCCCCAAATAAATCACATTCATAATTATCCACATTCGATATATCAGTTAGGTGGACAAAACTCAACTCATGACAAAATCATTGAAGTCTCCTTCACAGACTAATCATAGAGAAAACACAGCAACAACTGAAGTGTAAATAAGAACAGTGACAGGGAATGTAGAGTGTTCTGGGAAAACACAGAATGGGCCCTAATTAATGCCTGTAATCTGAACACTCCTTGAGGCTGAGGCAGGTAGATCAAAAGTTCCAGCCCAGCCCGGGAAACTTAGTGAAACCCAATCTCAAAATACAATAAAGAAGGGCTGGGATGTAGTTTGGTGTACAGGCCTAGAGTTTAATCCCCTGGACATCCAGGTTACACTCCAAGGCCTGGATGTAGGACAAGAATGGGCCAAGAGAGGCAAAGAAAGAAGGTATTTTCAGGAAGAAGGAATGAACAGCAGAAATGAAGGGTCAGGGTCCCCGTAAACTGCACATTTGAGGTAGATGGGGGACACTCAGCCTACTGAGCTGACTGACTGGGGGAGAACACTGAAAATCTCACACAGCAACAAGTGAACAGAAAAGGAACTAAGCAGATTGAGTGTAAGGGAAAGCTAAGGTTGCTGACGGTTGTGATCTGAGCTAGTGAGTCCAAGACGGGGAATGTGAGTCAGAGCCAGCAGGCTGAAGAAGGAGGAATGGTCTTATCATCAGTGCTTTCTCAGCATGCCATACAACTAACAAAAGTTGGACCATATGCAAAGAACTAACAACACCATGTTCTCCTCACATTATGCCTCGACACAAAAGCTCCATCTGTGGACAGTGGATTTCTCCAATGGTTAGCTATACTCAGGGACTATATTTAGAAATGTGAGCACAGAAGAGGAAATTATGAGGGAAGAGC